CACTTCTTCCAGAACAGATTTGTTTGTTCTTTTGGTAGTCCATGGTACTTTCAGTATTCTTTGCCAGCACCACAACTTAAAAGCATCAACTCTCCTTGAGTCTTTCTTGTTCATTGTCCAGCTCTCACATGCATATGAGGTGATTGAAATTCCCATGACTTGGGTTAGGCATACCTTTGTCTTCAAAGAGATATCTTTGCTCTTCAGCACTTTATGAGGTCTTTTGCAGCACATTTGCCCAGTGCAATATGTTGTCTGATGTCTTGACTGCTGCTGCCATTGGTTTTGATTGTGGGAGCAAGTAATATGAAATCTTTGACAACTTCAATCTTTTCTGCATTAAGTGATGCTGCTTATTGGTCCAGCTCTCAGGATTTTCATTTTCTCTATGTTGAGATGTAATGCATACTGCAGACTGAAGTCTTCAATCTTCATCAGTAAATGCTTCAAGTCAACTTCACTTTCAGCAAGCAAGATTGTGTCATCTGCATATCACATTTTGTTAATGAGTCTTCCTCCAATCCTAATGCCACATTCTTCTTCATATACTCAAGCTTCTTGGATTATTTGTTCAGCATACAGCTTGAATAAGTATGGTGAAAGGATGCAACCCTGAAACACTCCTTTCCTGATTTTAAGCCATACAGTATCCCCTTGTCCTGTTTAATCGACAGCCTCCAGGTCTATATAGAGGTTCCTGATGAGCACAATCAAATGTTCTGGAATTTCCATTCTTCTCAATGTTATCCATAATTTGTTGTGATCCACACAGTTGAATGCTTTTGCATAGTCAATAAAACACAAGTAAACATCTTTCTGGTATTCTTTGCTTTCAGCCAAGATCCATCTGACATTAGCAATGATATCCCTCATTCCATGTCCTCTTCTGAATCCAGCTTCCATTTCTGAAAGTTCTCTGTCAATATACTGTTGCAGTCTTTTTTTTTTTTCTGTAACCGTTTGTGACTTATCTTCAGCAAGATTTTACATACATGTGATATTAATGATATTGTTTGATAATGTACACATTCTGTGAGATCACCTTTCTTTGGAATGGGTACAAATATGGATCCTTTCTAGTCAGTTGCCCAGTAGCTGTCTTCCAAATTTCTTGGCATAGAAGAGTGAGTGTTGCCAGTGGAGCATCTGTTTGTTGAAACATCTCAATGGATATTCCATCAATTCTTGGATCCTTGTTCTTCACCAATTCCTTCAGTGCAGCTTTGACTTCTTCCTTCAATGCCATTGGTTCTTGATCATATACCACTTCCTGAAATGGATGAACATCTTTTTGGTACACTTACTCTGTGTATTCCTTCCATCTTCTTTTGATGTTTCCTGCATCAGTCAATATTTTGCTCATAGAATCTTTCAATATTGCAACTCAAGGCTTGAATTTTTTCCTCAGTTCTTTCAGCTTGAGAAATGATGAGTGTGTTCTTTCCTTTTGGTTATCTAACTCCAGGTCTTTGCACATTTCATTATACTAATTGACATTGTCTTCTTGAGCTGCTCTTTGAAATCTTCTGTTCAGCTCTTTTATTTTGTCATTTCTTCCATTTGCTTTAGCTACTCTCTGCTCAAGGGCAAGTTTCAGAGTCTCTTCTGACATCCATTTTGGTCTTTTCTTCCTTTCCTGTCTTTTTAATGACTTTTTGCTGTCTTCATGATGTTCTTGATGTCATCCCACAATTCCTCTGGTCTTTGTTCGTTGGAGTTCAATGAATCAAATCTATTGTTTAGATGGTCTCTAAATTCAGGAGGGATATAATCAAGGTCATATTTTGGCTTTTGTGGCCTTTGTCTTTAGCTTCAACTTGAACTTGCATATGAGCAGTTGATGGTCTGTTCCACAGTCAGCTCCTGGCCTTGTTTTGGCTGAAGATATTGAGCTTCTCTATCTCCTCTTTCCACAGATGTAGTCAATCTGACTCCTTTGTACTCCATCTGGCAAAGTTCACATGTATAGCCATCATTTGTGTTATTGAAAAAAGTATTTGAAATGAATAAGTCATTGGTCTTGCAAAATTCTATCATGTGATCTGCAGCATTATTTCTATCACCATATTTTCCAATTACCAGTGATTCTTCTTTGTTTCCAACTTTTGCATTCCATTCACCAGTGATAATCATCACATCTTGATTGCATATTTGGTCAATTTCAGACTGTGCAAGTTGGTAAAAACCTCCAATTTCCTCATCTTTGGCTTTGGTGGTTCGTGCGTAAATTTGATAAACTTAGGGGCCCTAATTTATGGCATAAATAGGCTACTAAGCATAACTCAAAATGCACAAACAGCAGAAGATAAATTAGATAACAGGAACTGTCTGAAAATTAAATTCTTATGGACATCAAAAGACATTTCCAAAAGAGTGAAAAATGAATTTACAGATTGGTGAAAAATATTTGGAATGATATATCTGACAAGGCACTTATCTCTAAAATTTACAGAAAACTTCAACACCTCAACATCAAAAAAACAATTCAGTTTAAAAATGCTCAAAGAACATGAAGAGATATTTCACCAAGGAAGACATTCAGGAGGCCAGCAAACATATGAAGAATGATTGCAATCATTAGCCATTGTTGCTGTTGTTATGTGCCATCGAGTCAGACCCAACTCATAGCAACCCCTCCTTGGGTTTCCAAAGCAGTATCACTACGGAAGTAGATTGCCCAACCTTCCTTCTGAGAGATGTAAATTAAAACAATGAGATATCACCTCATTCCAGCAAGAATAGCAAAGTTCAACAAGACAGAAAACAACAAATGTTGGTGAGGGTGTGGAGAGATTGGAACACTCATACACTGCTGGTGGATTGTAAAATGCTACAACTACTGTGGGAAATAGTATGGCACTTCCTTAAAAAGTTGGAAATAGAAATACTATTTGATCCAGCAATCCTAGTACTAGGAATATATCCTAAAGAAGTGAGATCTGAAACATGAATAGATAAATGCACACCCATGTTCATCACAGCACTATTCACAATAGCATAGCAATGGAAACAACCACAGTGCCCATCAACAAATGAATGGATAATCAAACTATGGTACCATATGCACAATGGAATACTATACAATATTAAAGAATAATGAAGAATCTGTGAAACACCTCATGAAGTGGATGAATTTGGAGGATATTATGCTGAGTGAAATAAGTCACTCATAGGACAGACATAATAGTATTATAAAAAATCAAGGAAAGATTTACACAGGGAAGGAAATTTTCTTTGTTGATTATCAGGGATGGAAAAGAGGGGAGAGAAAATTGCTGACTACTTATGAGACATGCATTGATTTGGGTGAAGGGAAAGGCAATGTAACAAAAGTGTGTGATCAGCACTATCACTAAGGAAAAGGAAGACACAGAGAGATGTACAAGAGGTACAGACAACAAAGGTCAATACTATTACATACAAAACACTGTATTATCAGTAATAACAAACACTAAGCTACAGGTGGATACATAGGTAGACAGACAAGAAGATCAATATGGGTAGGTGAACGGGAATATATCTATGACCAAGCATAGGTCTGCAGATGATATTTGTACATGCATATTTGTATGTTCTATAAAAATGTCCACATACAGAGGACAAAATTTGGCTAAATTCTTAGCCACTACTAAGCACCTTGAGGGAGTGAGTTGCTGGGCCTGTTGGAGTAGGATTATGGTTGTGGGGGACATCAGGCTCAATTGGCACAACATAGCACACAAAAATATTATTCTACATACTACTTTGGTGAGTAGCTATTTCAGTCTTAAAAGCTTGTGAACAACCATCTAAGATACGATTGGTCTCTTCTCATCTGGAGCAAAGAAGAGTAAAGAAAATAAAATATGTATGGAAATACTCAGTCCAAGTGCCTAGTGGACCACTGAAACATCAGCTTACATGACCCTGAGACCAAAAGAACTAGTTGATGCCTGGCTGCCAATACTAAGCCCCTGGAAAGGGGTCAAAATAGGAGATCCTAGATAGAGTGGGAGAAAAAATGTGGAATAAAATTTAAAAACATACAAAAGACCAGGATTATTAGTCATAAGGAGATTGGTAAAACCCCCTAGACTATGGCCCCAAGTCACCCTTTGGGCTGGAATTGGACTCACTCCCTTGGCTTAACTCTCAGCCAAATAGGACTATGAGCGGAACTACATCAGGGAGATGCACTCCTTAGACAATCAACCGTGGGAGATCAGAAGGGCAGCATTTGTGTAAGAGAAACCTAGACAGGTATGAATGAATAGGTAAGAAGGACACAGGAAAGGGATAACAACAGGGAGAAGGTGGGAAGAAAGCTGTTACAAAAAATTATCAAAAATAAAAAAATTTGAGGTACATATAATGACTGGTAATAACCAGTGAGTACTACTTTGTGATGCACATCAAAACATTATATTATTATTACTGTATTAGTATGTTAAAGATGTTTTAGTGTATCTGGAAGTATTTATTTAATATTTTTTATGCATAGAAAGGTACACTATAGACTATATACTAAGACTAACATTTGACTGACACTAGACATGAACCATATCAAACTGTTCAGACTTGTGGATAAATTCTCCTTAGAGACAGATTTAGGATTGGAACTCATTTCTAATCCAGGGACTGCCTGTAATTACAAAAAAAAAAAAATTGTTTGCCTTTAAAAGAAAAAAAATTAGATGCTGATTTTTAAGTGAAATCTATATCCTTCGATTTTTCATGGGGTGGGGAGTAAGAGCTGATGGAGGTAGAGAAAAATAGTGAAGTTTAAATAAGAAAACAAAAATCACTTAGTACCCAGATACAACTTTGTTTTCAATTATCTCTGAAGCCTACCTATACCCTGATTTTTGAAAACTTTTAATTATCCTTATTAAAAATTTCTCTTGTTGGCTTAAGCTAGCGTGCTTTTTAAAATTGATAACCAGAAGTTCTGAGTACCATAGCTCATATTATCTAAGAAGACCTGTTCATTTCTAATTTACTATGGCTTATTTCAGAGGGAGTGCCTTTCCATTCACATTGGCCAAGCTGGTGTCCAGACTGGGGATGCTCTTTGGGAACTCTATTGCCTGGAACATGGAATACAGCCAGATGGTGTCATTCTTAACAGTAAAATGGATCAACTGGAAAATGCTAAAATGGAGCATATGAATGCATCTTTCAATAACTTCTTCTGTGAGACAAGATCTGGGAAGTATGTGGCCCGCACTTTCTTCATGGACCTGGAACCAACTGTTACAGGTAATGCAAGTTTTAAATATACTCAATGAGGTCCACAATCAAAGCAAACAAGTCAAGTATCAGTGGGTGGGACTATACTAATGTAGCTGAATCATATCATTTGGACCTTCCTCAAATTTAGAGGATCAGTCAATGTCCATTTAGAGTGATTAACAAGTTAGCCTTCCTCTTCTGTGTAATGAAACTAATTAAAAGCATATTAATTTCCTCATACACATCTATTGTAGCAAAACACTAAAGTTTTTCCCGGAATTGAGAGCTAGTTGCTAGAGGCTACTGGCAAAGAATCTGAAAACTTGGCATTCCTTGTTTATAAAGAGAAAACTATTTGAAAATAATTTTAAAGAAGCAAGAAACCAAATAAATCTAATTATGGGGAATATCAATACAATTTTATGATCATTAATGGAAGACTTTATATATCTTGCATAAAAACTCTTGAAATAGAGTTAGAGAAATACTGGAGAAAGAAGGTGACTTATTGACTTAAGAGAAAATCTAGACAGAAGGGTTGATTTGGGTTTGATACTGTAGGGTGTTGTTAGCTGCCTTCTAGTCAGCCCCCAGATTCATGGCAACCCCACACACAAAAGAACAAAATGCTTCTTGGTTTTGTGTCATCCGCAATGATCTGTTGGGGATGAGACTGTTGTGATCCATAGGGTTTTCATCGGCTATTTTTTAGAGTTGATCATCAAGTCTTTCTTCTGACAATGTCTTATTTAGTCTGGAAGGTCTGTTGAAATCTGTACAGCATCATACCAACAGGCAAGCCTCCACTGGCAGATGGGTAGTAGAATCAAACTCAGATTTCCTACATGGAAGGCAAGAATTCCATCAGTGAACCACCAATGTCCAATTAATTATTGTTACGTGGTAAACTAGCCCCAAACCTAGTGGTTTAAAACAATAACACTCCTGTTTTGTTCATGAATTTGAAATTTGAGCAGGGCTCAGAGGAGATCATTCTTTTCTGTTGCATGTGGCTTTAGTTAGGGAGGCTCAAGAGGGGACTGGAGGATCCACTTTCAAAGTGACTCATTCACATGTCTGGTGAGTTCATGCAGCTGTTGACTAATAGCTGACCTAGGACTATGGGTGGGGCCTTGTTCTCTCTTGATATGAGTCTCTGTTATGGGCTGCTTGGGTGGGTTCCAAGAGCAACTAACTCATGAGAACAAGGCAGGAGTACGTTGCATTTTTTATAACCTAGCTTTGAAAGTCAAATAGTATCACTGCAACTGTGCTTTGTGGTTGAGACAGTTACAAATATCCACCCAGAGAGGGGATATAGACTCCATCTCTTGATGTGGGAATAGCAAGATCCAAGAAGAGCACATGAGATGGTAAATGTTTTTGTGACCATCTCTGGAAAATCAGTCTGTCTATACTAGATTGGAGTTAATTTCCTTACCAGAACAAAGGGAGAATCAAGTAACAAACTGATGGAGAAAATAGATTAATGTCAATATGAAAGAAAAGATAAAAAATTTTATTAAAAGTTTGAAGTTAAGAATTATTGAAGTCAAGACACCTAGTATATACAGATTCAGTATTACTCAGTAAGATGTTGTGAAATAATAAGATGTAAGTTAGCACTGATAATTTTAAGAACACGTCAGACTAGTATGGCAGCTAATAGAAGTTGTATTATGCAACCTACATTGTATTCTGACTTGAGTGACAAGGTCTCTAAGATGATATCTGAATTTTCTTTACAAATGAGAGCTTGTCACTGTGAACCTTAGCTGGAGTAGGGTGTTCTAGAAACCTGGGCAGGGTGGAATATGTTCCTTGTGGGTTTTGGAGCAATGTGAGAAGCTATGTCCTAGTATTACTAACATGTAGCAGATTTTTAACAATTTGTGCCAAACCAAAGAAGCTAAGAAAATAGAAAGTATAAAGATTAGGTTAGAAGATGAGGAAATCAGAGAAGAGATACGGCAGACAAAGACTGGGAGAAATTTCCTGATAGTCCAGAACATAGTCTAGAGTGATGGTTGAATATGAGAGTCCTGAACTGCTTAAGACAGAGGCATAGTGCTCCAGGGAGGAGGCACTTATTTTCCTTTTCTTATTCAACAAATAAGAAAGCCTCATATGTGTAGATGTGTTAGATCCCATTCTTGACACTGGATATATATATGTGTGTGTGTGTGTGTGTGTGTGTTTATGTGTGTGTATAGATAAAAGGAAGGAGCCCCGGTGGTGCAGTGGTTAGCAGTTTGGCTGCTAACTGAAAAGCCACTCTGCAAGAGAGAGACGTAGCAATCTCCTTTTGTTAAGATTATACAGCCTTGGAAACCCTATAGGGCAGCTCTACTCTATCCTATAGGGTCACTATGAGTCAGAACCAATTTGATAGCAGTGGATTAGGTTTTGGTTTTATATGTATATGTGTATATATATATGTATATGTATCTCTGTGTATACATATATATTTATGTATATATATTCGTATACACACACACACACACACATATATAAAATCTCTGGCCTTATGGAGCCTTCATTTTAGTGGAGTAGAAACCAATAAAAAGCAAACAAATAAAAGTCCAATGGTGATAAGTGATATGTTGTTGTTGTTAGGTGCCATCAAGTCAGCTCTTACTCACAGTGACCCTATGTACAATAGAATGAAACACTACCCAGTCCTGTGTCAGCCTCACAATCCTGGGCCCATCGTTGCAGCCACTGTGTCAATGCATCTCACTGAGGGTCTTCTCCTTTTTCACTGATCCTCCACTTTACCAAGCGTGACATTCTTCTCCAGGGAATGATTCCTTCTGAAAACATGACCAAAGTAGGTGAGAGGAATTCTGGCCATTCTCCCTTCCAAGGAGCATTCCCCTGTACTACTTCCAGGACAGATTTATTAGTTCTTTTAGCAGTCCATGGTACTCTCAATTTTCTTTGCCAACACCCCAATTAAAAAGCACCAATTCTTCTTCAGTATTCCATAATCATTGTCCAGCTCTCACATGCATAAGGGGTAATTGAAACACCATGGCTAGGGTTGTTGTTGTTTGCCATCGAGTCAGCCCCAACTCATAGCGACCCCTCCTTGGGTGTCCGAGGCAGTATCACTACGGAAGTAGGATTGCCCAACCTTCCTTCCGAGGAGTGGCTGGTGGGTTTGA